GGAGTCTCCAAACCCAGCAGATCCCTGCAGTGCGTTCCCGCACCGCTCCTCCCCGGGAAGGAAGGGGAGTCTCCCCGGATCTGCTGCTTGTTGGGTCCCTGCTGGGGGAGCCGTGCCCCGACTGGGCCGCAGATCACAGTTTATGGCAACCCCGAGCTGAGATCCCGCGACTCTGCTCCGTCTCTGCAGCCGGCTTCCCCGCTCTGATACCTGGGAGCTCTGCCGCACTCAGGCACCCCCGGTCTCTCCGTGACCCCAAGGGTCCTGAGACCACACTGTCCCGGGAGGATTCCACCCCCCGCTTAGCCACTGCAGCGATGTCCCTCCGCCGAGCCAACTTCTAAAAGGTCCGATTTTGTGCTCCGCGGCTCTAGCACTTGCCAGAAGCGGCCGGCAGAGGCCCCTCCCCCGCCGTCTATCCTCCCAAATATCGCCTCGGATTCACTTCTCCGCACGCCCTACCTTCCAGTAAGTGGTCGCTTCTCTGTTCAGAGAGTTGTTGCCACTCTCCTGTTCAATCTCCTGTTGAGTTCGTAGGTGTTCAGAATGGTTTGATCCCTATTCAGCTGAATTCCTGAGACCAGACGAAATCTAGGTCTCCTACTCCTCCGCCATCTTGCTCCGCCCCCCCCCTACAGACCTCTTTTCCGAGTATATGGTCTGTTAAGTAGTGCTCCATTGTCTTCTAGCATAGAATGTTGCCCCAGAGAAGTTTGAGGCTACCATCAATTTTGTTTTTATAAGATCTTTTTTTCCCCCCTAGAAGACCAGGGGATACTTTCCCGTTCTTTATCACTTTTTCATAGAACATATGTATCCTGTTAAAACTGATTAGTAAGGCCTTGTTTTAAGTTTTCTTTGATAATATCTCTGAATGTTTTTGTTTCAATTGGTCTTTTCTTTTTGAAAGAAATTCTAGTTATAGAAGAGAATGTCTGGACTGCTGGGACTATTATCTTTTATTTTCTCTGAATTCTTAACTCTTGTCTTCTGTTGTTTTGCTCATTAGTCTCAATCCTGTACTCTGGTTGCATTTTTAACAATGTCTGTCCTTTTTATGGGGCCTCTAATGACATTCTTTAGTGTTTGTGGTTTTCTCTCTACCTCTTTTCCTGAACGCTCCCAGGTACTTTTCTTTTCTTTCTCTCATCCGTCACTTCCATTTTGAGTCCACGGAAAAGCTCAGCTGTTAATTTTTTATATATACGTTGAGGACCAGCATAACAGTGTGTTTGGAAAAGAAGTTTTATTACTCATGAAATTATTGAAAATACTATTTATGATACCATTTGCTCCTGATAGTAAGAAAAAATTAAAGAATAAATTTATTATGTTAAAATACTGCCATAACAAATATAGCTCTTTGTTTCTCAGTTCCCTAGATATAACTGTCTAAAGCCCTACTACAAAACAAACATGTCTTCTGAATTTTTCCTTTAAAACTTGCCCTTGAGCCCATTCCAGTGTGGTCTCTACCTTTTGCTTAGATCCCCACCCTGACCTTTGTATCATTAAATCCAGGGACATTTCTTAGGCTTCATCTGACTCTTCCCCCATCTTAAACCTGTGTCTTCCCTGCCTTCCCTGCCTTCCCTTCCAGCCGGCCCCTCTGATCTGCGGTCTCTAATCTCCTTTGTAGATTCATCCTCTGCGTGGCCATCCAAAGGGAGGGTTCCTGAAGGCATAGTTGTGGGCACTGTTCTCTTTCCCTGGACCTGGCATCCGTGCCCACTCTCCAGCAAAAGTCCAGATGCTGGTGCTTCCTCCCTTGGTATCTTTGGTCAGGACACTCCCCAGGGCTCCTGACCCACGTACCCACCTGGCACTTCCTCATGGGTATCACCTCCCACATCTTTCTCTCTGGAGCTTTTTCAGTGTTCCAGATGACAGTGGGTGGTTTCACATCTGCCCTGTTAATGTAGCCCAGAATCCTAACATTCATGATTGACCTTGTCCCTTTCTCACCTCCCATGTCCCACCTCACTTCATCAGTAGTCTGGAGTCAGCCATTTTTTTCTGTCTCCTTTGCACTAGTCCAAGCTGCCGTGGACTCTTGTCTGAAATGAAATAAACCCTTTCTCATCTTTCTGATTCCCTTTTGCCCTCCTCTCTCCCTTGCCTTATCCAGTCTCACTACATCCAATACAATCTTTTTCCAAATAAAAATCTTATTCCTCCTCCATTTAAAACTTCAGGGGCACCAGGACAATTCGGTGGAAGAAGAAAAATCTTGTGACAAATGATGCCAGAGCAACTAAATATTCATATGGGGGAAATGAACTTCAACCCCATCTTACACCCTATACAGAAATTAATTTAAAAGTTATGTAAGCATAAAACTCAGAAACATAAAGCTTCTAGAAAAAACAATATCTTTGTGACCTGGAGGTGGGCAGAGATTTCTTGGACAGGACACAAAAAGCATTAACCATAAAAGAAACAATTTACAACTTGAACTTCATCAGAATTTAAAATATCTGCTTATTAAAGACAATAGTAAGAAAATGAATATACAGGTATTACAGGCTGGGGTAGGAGGAATATTTGTTATACATAAATCTGATTAAGGATTATTACTCAGAATATATAAAGAACTCCTTAGAAATTAATTTGGACACCTCATAAAAGAAGATAATACAGATTGCCAATAAGTACATGAAAAGGTGCTCAAAATTATTAGGCTTCAAAGAAATGCAGATTAAAATCACAATGAGATATTTCATCCAATGGAATGACTAAAATCTAAAAGACAGACAATACGAAATATTGGTGATGATGCAGAACAATTAGAATCTCTACACATTTCTGATAGGAGATCGCTTCAGAAAACTCTTTGGCAGCTTTTTATGGAATGAAACATATACCAGTTCAGTGGCACATCAAGCCACTCCTAAGCAATTACTTCAGATAAATTAAGCATGTATCCACAGAATGATTTGTACTCCCAATTCACAGGAGCCAAAACCAACTCGTGTCCACCAAGAGGTGAATAAACAAATTGTTGACTAGTCATACAGTGGAATACTACTCAGCAATATAAAGGAATGAAGAACTGATACAAGAATATAGGTGAATCTTTAAGATACAGTTCAGCAAAGAGAATACAGACACAAGAGTACATACTATAGAATTCCATTTATAAAATTTCTAAAATAGGCAAAAATATTCTGTGGTGATTGAAGTCAGAAAGTGGTTGTGTCAGGGCAGGGTGGGGTGGGATAGCTGGAAAGGAGCTTAAGGGAACTTTCTGGGATGGTAGAACGTTCCTGTATCTTGTTTCAGATGGTGATCACACAGGTACTTGCCATCATCAAAAATCATTGAACTGAGTGTTTAAAATTGGTGTTCTTGTATGTAAATTATGTTTTAACACAAAACACTTTCAGTGGCTCTTAGAATAAAAGTCAAAACTTCTTAATGGATCAGCAAAGCCCCGCATGGTCCATCCTGCCTGCCCTCATCCTACACCAGTTTCCGCTCTGGCTTTTTCTGCTCTGGCACAGTGGCCAGAGTTACCCCCTTTACAGGACCTTTGCACATGCTGTTCCCTCTGCATGAATTCTTCTGCCCTTCTTCTTCTAGCTAACTTTGCCTGTCCCTCAGATCTCAGTTCAGTTGTTCCTTCCTTAGAAACATCCCTCCCTAAACCTCCAAGTTAGAACAAATCCCCTGTTACACACTCTCATATCATCATCGAGTACTTCCCCTTTGTATCAGAGTTGCATTACCTACATTGGTTTGTATGTTTTTAAATCAATGTCTAGCTTACTCACCTGTCTGTAAATTAGGGCAAGAGCCATGGCTGGTTCACCAGTGTATTCCCAGTGCTTGCTATAGAGCCTGGCACATAGCAGATACTCAGTAATGGACAGAATGAATGAATGGTGAATCTGTTGATTTTATTTACAGGAAATGGTGATTATTACTCTAGTGGGAATGATCTGACTAATTTCACTGATATTCCCCCTGGTGGAATAGAGGAGAAAGCTAAAAATAGTGCCATTTTACTGAGGTAAGAGTGACATTTGTCTGATCCCAGCAGACTCGTTCATATTCCTTGAAGTGGTATTTAGTGCAGCAGAAGTAAGATAAATGCTTCTTCCAAAAACTAATGATGTAATATATGGTGATTAACATAACAATAAAAAAGAGATATAGTACATATCAAAAAAAAAAAAAAGATAAATGCTTCTTTGTGTCAGTGTCATTAATGTGGCTTTGGACAAGCATATTTCTCCAGACCGCCTCTATCAATATGTGGGCCTTTATTCTATCGCTTTAACTTCTGTTACCCATTCATCCTGCTGCTCTATATGAGATTCGATCAGAAAGCATAAAAGTCAACTACAGTTGAAAAAAAAAGAAGTTCTCTCCTATTGAAGCAGAGAGATTTAGCCAATTCTCATTCGGCCAGAGGAATGCATGATTTCCATGATTGCTGGTAATGGGACATGTGAAGTAGTTTCAGCACAGAGGACATGAAGGCCTCTCTCCTCCTAACTCACGTATCGCTACCAGGTTCCTGATTCCCATGAAGCTGTAATATTGCGGCTCTTGTATATGCTCAGCCAGCCTTCCTAATCTCCAAGTCTGCAGCTGACATATAACCCTGACCCGGCTACCCAGAATACACGGTTGAACCAAGGTCTATGAGTTTCCATCACATGCCATCCAGATGGGTATCCAGGCTGGCCAGAGTTCATTTCAGACTCATGCTGTCTTCCTTATTGTACTTCAGTCATGCCACGTTGGGACATTTTTATTATTATTAATATTAATTATTATTATGTTCAACTAGCCAGCATGTTATTATCATCATTAGTTTTTGATGTAGCATTCAGTGATTCATTAGTTGCGTATAACACCCAGGGCACATCACCATACGTGCCCTCCTTAATACCCATCACCAGTTACCCCATCTCCCCACCCCCCTCCCTTCTGTGACCCTCAGTTTGGTTCCCAGAGTCCAGAGTCTCTCATGGTTCATCCCCCTCTCTGATTTCTCCCCCTTCAGTTTTCCGTTCCTTCCCCTGTGGTCCCCCATGTTATTCCTTATGTTCCACATATGAGTGAAACTATTTGATAATTGTCTTTCTCTCCTTGATTTATTTCACTTAGCATGATCCCCTCCAGCTCATTTAACTATGCTTTTGTATTTCCATTTCTGTAGGGATTTTGTAGACTGTTTCATAGATTTTCCTAAGCCTCTGGTTGCAGTGGTCAATGGTCCAGCTGTAGGAATAGCCGTCACCATTCTCGGGCTATTTGATCTTGTGTATGCATCCGACAGGGTAAGTCAGCCCCCAGAAACGTAGAAAGTCATGAAGTAAAAAATGAGGTCCTCTGAATTCTCTTTAATTGTTGGCTGGTAGTAAATGGATTGCACGATTTATGGTAGAATGGACTAAATTTCCCTTTTTCCCAAAGAATTACTCTTAATTTAATTCGACTTGTTTTATTTGTCCTTCATTATTAACTTTGGTTTTCCTAAATACCAGTATTGTTGTGAACATTGTCTCAACTATTATGGTTCTATATTCTAATCAAATTATGTAACAGTTACTCAAATTTTGATTTTCCAATTAATCTAAAATAGGAGATCTTGAAAGCTTGCTATCAGGGCGGGGGGGCCGGGGGAACAGCATTTTTGCATGTTCTGCAAGTGGATAATTTGATACTTTTTTCCAAGTAAACAAATTCTGGAGTTTAAAATTTTAGAATATTAGAATTTTTGAATAAGAAGGGACTTTGAAGCATTATCTACCCTAACTCCTAAGCAATTAGGAGTAACAGATAAATAAAGTTCAAGTTACTTGCCAAAACAGTTTAGCCTTGTGTTTGCCGTTGCATTGCATTGATTTTTTAATTTCTGTCCTCACTACAGTATCAATATATATTTTAGTAGAATAAAATTTTGAAAAATCTGGAAAAGCATAAAGGGTTCAATTAAAAATCACTTCTTATCTTACCACTCACAGATAACCAGTCCCTGACTGCTGGAACCCTAGGCTGTCTCCAGTTCTGTCATTATGAACAAAGATGTGATGACCATTTGTTTTAGAACTTTTGTTGTAGAACTGATAACCACTTGTAAGGTTATCAGATTCTTAGAGTAATTTTTTCTTGTGCAGTGGTACAATTTCCTGCTCTGCAACCTTGTGGGAAACATTTGGTTTTTACCCCTGAAGAGATTCCTAGCTTTGTTTGGAGGTGTTTCCCGACTGATAGACATGACCATATTTTAAGATCCTTATCTCTTGAGTTCATTTTTTTTTTTACTGGATTCAGTTTGATTGGATTGAGCATGTTGTCAGACCTAAATGTTTTTAATAATTATCCCATGAAAATAGCAAATAAGATTCTAAGTGCTAGGCTGCCTAACCTTCATAGGTGGAAGCTTCTGCTCAGAGGCAGAAATCAATAGCCTGTGGTCCCATCATGTGTGTTAGAGGACTGATTGATCAGCCAGTCTTGACCAGGGTCAGGAGTTCCTGACCTGAACTTAGGGATCTCATTCTTCAGTACTTAGAGGGCAAATATATCATCCTATTTGAATATTCTCTTGGTTCTCCCTCAGAATTCAAAACAACTGTCACATCCATCATATTTTTAAGGTTTCTAAGATCTCCGTTCTATGATACAAATTGGAATTGAAATAGAAAGAAAACATACATAGATACTTCAAATGCTAAAACATTTGGCCCAGAGTAAAATATTTGACAAATAGTGACGACTACTAAGAGTTCACCCAACTGAATTAAACCAAGGTTCAATTTAAGATCAGAGAAAGACACAGAAGAAAGAGTCTGTGAAGAGGAATGCATTTTACAGGATTTATCATTATTGGCTTCATAAACAAATACCATATTAAATGTGGGTTTAACACTCATACAACCAAATTATTCTTTATTATGGGCAAGAGTTAACAATGCCCATTAGCTTCTTTGTCAGCAAATTATACATTTCCCCTATGAGGTACTCAAAGGGTAGAAGTCATAAAAATAATACTTGAATACTCACCGCATCCTAGGCACTCTGTTGCTGCCCGTGATACATACTCACTTAATGCACGCAGCAGCCCTATGAGATAGGTATTTTTGTCTCCATTTTACAGAAGAGTTCACTGTGGCACAAAGAGGTTAAGAAGCTCCCAGAGTCACCAAGCAGTCGGATGCCAGAGCCTGACCCTTAATTACATTTACTGCTCTATTTCTGAAAATAAGTTAAATGCTGCTTACTGTCAGTTCTTCACATCCTGTCTGTGGCCCTTTAGCTACGGTTGGCGTTTTCTTTCGCTTTTCCACTTAATCCTCCTTAGGCTGTGACTTCTCAGTACATCTTCTTGAATAAGCTTGCTTTTGGGGGGAGGGGGTGATAGGTGACATTAGTAACTTTTTATTTTACTTTTCCCTTATATACTGCGTCTATTACATATTTATGTCTTCTAACAATATTCCTTAAGAAATAGCACCAAATCTGATTATGGGAAGTGAAGTCTAAATGTTCTGTATACATATTGTCAAGTATAAATTAATTTCCTTTCCTAAGGACTTCTCATTCTCAAGAAATACACAAAAATATTTCTTAAATCAAAAAAAGGGGGGACACCTAGGTGGCATAATCGGTTGAGCTTCTGACTCTTGGTTTCAGCTTAGGTTATGATCTCAGGGTCGTGAGATCCACCCCTGCATCCGTGATCAGCAGGGAGTCTGCTTGAGATTCTCTCTTCCCCTGCCTCTGCCCCTCTCCCCTCCCTCCCTTTTTCTCTCTAATATAGGTGAATAAATCTTTAAAAAATTAAAAAAACAAGGGGTGCCTGGGTAGTTCAGTCAGTTAAGCATCCAGCCCTTGATCTCAGCTCAGGTCTTGATCTCAGGGTTATGAGTTCAAGCCCCTCACTGGGCTCCATGCTGGGCATGGAGTCTACTTAAAAACAAAAACAAAAACTGAAGATGGCTCTAGAGGTGTATATGTACCACTCCCCGCAACCATGTAGTGATAAATAAAAACACAACCAATCTAACTTAAAAATAGTGGGCAAAGTATTATCATGGTTTCTTCGCCAAAGAAGATATAAAAAGAGCTAGTAAGCACATGAAAAGATGCTCAACATCATTAGTCATTACAGAATATAAATTAAAACCACAAGACACTATTACGCACCTACCAGGATGGTTCGAGTTAAAACAACTGACAATAACAAGGTTTAGCGAGGGTTTGGAGCAACTGGGAGGGGAGTGTTATATGATACACCATGTTGGAAATTCTTTTGTTCTTAAACCACAATTTACCACACAACCCAGTAATTCTACCACTACGTATTTACCCAAGAGAACTGAAAACACGTTCATGCAGAGACCTGTGTACAAATTTTCATTAACAGTCGTACTCATCATAGCCAAAATACTAGAAATATCACCAGTGGCTTCAGCTGGTGAGTGGATACAGGAACTGTGACATCCATACAATGGAATTCTACTCAGAAATGACAAGGAGCAAGCTACCAATACAATAGCATGGTGACTCTCAAAAAGGCTTATGCTAAGGACCAAAGGCTACAGAATGTATGATTCCATTTATATTATATTCTAGAGAAGGCAAAACAAGGGACAGAAAACAGATCGGTGGTGGTTTGGTGGTGACAGGAATGGACTGACTGCAGAGGGCACAAGGAGCCCTTTGGGGTGATGGAGATATTCTCTATCTTGACATGGTGATGGCTACATAACTGTGTACCTTCATTAAAACTCACCAAGCTGCCTATCTAAGAGCAAACTTGGTGTGTATATAATACCACAGCAATCCTAATTTTTAAAAAACTTAAGTATTGTGAGGGTATATGCAAATAGTGACTTTTAAAAATCACATACAAAAAGTAATTGTCTTTTCTTTTTTTTCCAAATAGGCAACATTTCATACTCCTTTTAGTCACCTTGGCCAAACTCCAGAAGGATGTTCCTCTTACACTTTTCCGAAGATAATGGGCCCAGCCAAGGTAACTCTTGGAAACCTTAAGTTGTAATAAGTAACCTCTGGGGGCACCTCAGTCGGTTAAACATCCGACTCTTGATTTCGGATGTTTCCCCCCACTTGCACTCTCTCTCTCTCTCTCTCAAATAAATAAATCAATCTTAAAAAAAAAAAAAAGTAACCTCTGTTCAAAAAGTAATTCTATACTCTTTTCTTTTCCTCGATAATATAGACAGAAGAAAAGTGAGTTATTTGTTCCGCAACTCTAAAAATTTCAAATGTAGGAGAGCTAGGCTATGGGAAATGTCTGGTGTGAGGGAAAATTAGAAACTCTCCATGACTCTGCAGACTAGGATCTGCTCTTGCAGCTGGGTGCCCGGTGCCTTCTCCTCCACTGCTATGTGGCATGAGTCATTAGAGGACCAGGGCTGTGCCACCTCGTGGCCCCACTGGATTTCTTTTTTTTAAAGATTTTATTTATTTATTTGAGAGAGAGAGAGAGAATGAGAGACAGAGAGCACGAGAGGGAAGAGGGTCAGAGGGAGAAGCAGGCTCCTCGCTGAGCAGGGAGCCCGATGCGGGACTCGATCCCGGGACTCCAGGATCACGAACTGAGCCGAAGGCAGTCGCTTAACCAACTGAGCCACCCAGGCACCCACCCCCACTGGATTTCTGTGTGGATGAGCAGCATCCTCTGGAAGCCATAAGATGACATTTTGACTTTTGAGAGTCGGGAGGTACCAGCAGATGCGAGTCCTCCCGGGGGTTTACACCTTCCAGAGCTGCTCCCAGTCATAGCAGCCTCTTCATTGAGTAAGTTTAGCCGTGTGTTCAGGCTCCCAGAGGGGTTCTGTGGCTGCCCAGGTCTGTCCCCGTGTCTATGGAAGCCTGGGTGCCCAGGCTCAGTGTGCATGACTCCAGGTAATCATGATGAGACCGAACAGCGGGTAGCCGGGGATAAGGGAAGCCTTAGCCAATTCTTGGAGGTCTGAACATGGTGGGGTTGGAATGGAGCCTGTTTTCATTGACTGCTAGGTTTTCGTTGCAGATATATAGTTTATAAGGCTCATTATTCTGTTATATGCCCTGAGTCATTATTATAGATTTTAACTTTGAAAAGTTGGGCAGAACCAACTCTAAGGCTTAGGGCATTTGACTATGAAATAATATTTTTCCAGAAGCACAACTGGAAATATAGAGGATATCCACTCAGTGAGCTCAGTTTTGTTAGAAGCTTCCTCCCTTTGTTAGTCCTTCCTCCCTTTCTTTTGGTCAGGTAGAACTAATTAGTAGTACCTGTGCTGGTAAAGAAAACTGTCAGAGCTGGGCCACTGCGTAGAGTTTCCAGGGAAGGGAAGTTTGAAAGTTAGGGTGTCTAAAGTTTGGTTGGCATTCACTGTGACCTGGATTTTCCTTTTCTTTTTAGTTCTGTTTTCTTTTGTAATTGTTTATAGTGTATAAAACAGAAATTTCTAGCTGTGTGGGTTACGGGGTCAGCATCTGCTTCAGGTCCTTTCTGCGGATCTGTGGCTCCCTGCTCTTGCCTTCCCAGCACAGACACATAGAGAAGCAAAAATACTTGGCAAACCTTCCAGAGAGCCTGAGATGCTCTCAGCACAGTCTGCAAAACATTGCCTATTGAGGTCTTCACTTTCTCCCTTAACAAGAAATACTGGCAACCTCAAAAGACCGTAAGGGAACTTCCCTCTGTCTCCTGAAAGCAGTTAGTTCTGAGGTTAACTGACCCGTGTTTCATTAAGTTAAAGTCTTAATCTTGCTTTTCGTTTCAGGCAGTAGAGATGCTCATTTTTGGGAAGAAGTTAACCGCCGGAGAAGCCTATGCTCAAGGACTTGTTACTGAAGTTTTTCCTGATAGCACCTTTCAGAAAGAAGTTTGGACCAGGCTGAAAGCATATTCAAAGCTCTCCCAGAATGTTAGTGTTGTCTTTTGTTTTTTGGGTTTTTTTTTTCCTAGTAGAAACCATGGAAATAATTTATTTGCCTTAAGAGATAATAAGCATTTAAAAAAACAAGAGATACCTTGGTTGGCTGTAAGCACATCTAAATTTGAGATTAAAAATAACCATAATAATGTTAGAAGTACTGTTTTTTTAAAAAACTTCTCAGATAGGCGTTTCATTGCTATGATACATATGAAGGCAGAGGGACAGTTCTTTCTGGGGATAACTTTGAGGAGGGGGATGGGCAGTATTTGCTGAGCACTTTTATTCTTGAATCCAGGTGAGAAGCCAGATAGGTTGACTTTTAGGAGGTTCTTACTGTGTAGCACTTTGGTTTTTATATGTGATAACTCGTGACTGACTGCTCTTATATTCTTTCTGCTCAAAATGTGGTCCTGGAACCAGAAGCTTTAGTCTCTCTCTGGGGCTTTCTAGAAATGTGTGATCCCAGGCCCTCTCCCGTGTCTACCAAGATGAATCATATTCACATTCAAGTTTGAGAAGCACTGTCCTATGTTACACATACATCTGAAGACGTGACAGGATTCTGTGAACCGTGGAGAAACAAAAATCAGCACTACAGAATAATCCCGTTCCCTCTGGAATGCCCTTAACCTTATTGTTGGTTTTGTGTTTTCAGGCCATGCATATTTCGAAACAGATCATCAGAAATCACGAGAAGGAAAAGCTGCACGCTATTAATGCTGAAGAAAGCAGGATCCTCCAGGAAAGATGGCTGTCAGACGAATGCATGAATGCAGTCATGGACTTCTTTTCCCGAAAAGCCAAGCTGTGATGCTGTTACAGCAGAGTTATGCATTTCAAAGGAAGGGATGTGCTGTCATTTCTGATTTCCAGTACTCGGACTAAATAAACTGTGCCTTTTCTCAGTGCTAACATATCATTTATGGTTATCATATTTCACTAGAGCCCCGATGACAAACCAGTTACGTACCACAAGCTTTAAGAATTTACATAGGATTTGGGTCACAGGGAGTCTTACGTCTTTCAACATGAATCTCTGTTGCCAGGAGCAATGAAACATTGTGCCTGGGGTCATGCTTTGAAAAGCATTCACAGCATTGCAAGCTGAAGTCATGTTTTTGAACACCACGATAGCACTTTGCCGTCCACAGAGGGTGACGGACTTAATAGGCCCAAACACCAACAGCCTCTGGATCACTGACTGAAGGTCTTCGGTGGGTTGCATGTTCTTTTTCAACCACCTAGCAAGCAAGCAGATGGAGCAGTAGTAGTATTAAAAAAGAAACAAAAGAAAAGAAACAACAATCTTAGTTCCACTAAACCCCATAAATTAATAAAAAATCCATGAAGGGAAAACTGGGTTATTTCACTGGAAATAAAAGCAGTGTTCTGGATCAGTTATCTTAATTATTTACTATGTAGTCTTCACTCTTGTGTAATGTGGGATGTTATAAAAGGCATACCCGCAAGCTACCTTAACCGTCCTTGGAACTTTCCGGTTTGATTAGTGCCATATCTAATGACAAGGACAAGGGCATAATTTCAGTGGCTACCAAACTGGCATGGAATAGTTTGCTCTTCTAAATACCCTCATTTCTCCATAGAAACATCAAACTACAGAAACTAAACATCTACAGCAAACAAGTCAATGTCCAACAAAGAAAAATCACATTGAAAGTTGTAGGAAATTGTGTGGCATTCTGACCCCTACCATGCTCCCCTCCCCACACACACCCCCCCCCCGCCGCCCCACCACTTCCCTGCATGGTGGGGTTGGAAGAAATTCACCTAATTCCCAGCTCCCTCCCTTGGGATAGAAGGAGCAGAGTGGAACTTGTTTGTAAACTTCTGGCCTGTGTGCAGGCCACCTGAGGGACTGGTTGCTGTCTTGCCTGACTCACAGTTCAGGAGGGAGATGCTAGCATAGGTTGGATGTGAGACAAGAAACCCCAAGAGGCAGTGACACACAAACACTTGAAAGGTACAGGCTGACTACAGCCTCTCGGGTGCCAGGAAGGAGATCACAAAAAAGGAATCCAATAGAGCACTTAAGGCCCTGAGAAGAAGGTGGAGACTCTTCAGGAAACTAAGACATTTAAAAGCAGCTGAGGGAAAATTAAAAAGAAACATACAGGCCTAGACAGCAAGCATACCCAGAAAAGATCTGAGAAGTCCTGGGCTGATCTGAAGACTCACAGTGAGAGAGGGTCTTACCCATCAGTGTAAGAGAGGCTCGTTTTTGCAAAAGTGCTCAGTTTTCAACAAAGGGTCATAAGGACTGCAAAGAAACAGAAAAACATAGCAAGTCAGATTTACTAGACAAGGACTTTAAAACAAATGTCTAATACCTCAAAAGAGCTAAAGACAAAACATGGCCAAAGAACTAAAGGATATCAGGAAAGCAGTATGTGAAGAAAATAAAGAGTATCGACAAAGAGGTGCACATTATTATTTTTTTAAACCAAACAAATCCTGGGGCTGAAAATTATAATTGAATGGAAAAATTCACTAGAGGGGTTCAACAGCAGACTCAAACAAGTAGAAAAAAAATCAGCAAACTTAAAGAAAAGTCATTTGAAATGATCAAGTTCGAGGAGCAAAAAGAAGAAAGAATGAAGAAAGGTGAATGAGCCTAAAAGACTTACGGGACAGACTCCATCAAGCCAACCCCAGTGTACATACCATGGGAGTCCTAGACAGAGAAGAAGGGGAGTGAGGTGAGAGAGGAGGAGAGAAAGGGACAGAGTGATTATTTGAAAAAAAGAAGGGCTGAATTTGAGGGAAGATATGAATATACAAATCCAAGAAGTTCGATGAACTTTAAGTAGGATAAACACAAAGAGACCTACAGTGAGACACGTTATAATCAGACCTGTCAAAGACAAAGAGTGAATCTTGAAAGCAGCAAGAGAAAAGCCACTCATCACATAAAATGATCTCTGATAAGATTAGTAGATTTCTCACCAGAGCCCTTGCAGTCCAGAAGGCAGTTAGAATGACATATTTAAAATGCTGAAAGGAAAAAAAACAGTTGTCAACTGATAACTCTACATGTGGCAAACTCTACATCTTCAAAGATGAGGAAGAAATTTAAGACATTCCTATACGAAAACTGGGGACGTTCATTACCACTAGATCTGCCCCCACCAGAAATATTAAATGGTGTCCAAACTGAAATGAAAGGATGCTAGATAGTAACTCAAAGCCACATGAAAATATAAAGTTCTCCAGTAAAGGTAAATATATGCACAAATATAAAAATAGTGTTTTCATAATTTTGGTTTGCCTCTCTGCTTTTTATTTTCTATAGGATTTAGAAGGCAAATGCCTAAGATGTAATTGTATATCTATGTTAATGGGTATGCAATATATAAAAGTAATATGTGACATCAATAATGTAAGTGGAGGGACAGAGCAGCAACTGAAGTTAAGTTGGTAACAATTAAAGATATATTGTTATAGAGTGTTGTAACTACATATAAGATATAGTTAATAATCTATAGTATAGATTGTTATAACTTTAGGATGTTATTATGTAATCCCCATGGTAACCACACACACAAAAAAATACCCATAGAAGATACACAGAAAGAAATGAAAAGAGAATCAAAATGCGTCAGTACAAGAAATCAACTAAGGACAAAGGGAAGCAGTAATGGAGGAAACGAGGGATGAAAAAATAGGTAAAACATACAGAAAACAACATGGCAAAAGTAAGTGTTTCCTTATTAGTAATTACTTCAAATGTAAATGGATTAAACTCTCCAAAAACCATAGACTGATAGAATGGATAATAAAACCAGTCAGGATTCAATTATACACTGCCTACAAGAGTCTCACTTTAGATTTAGGGACATTCATGGGTTAGAAATGAAAGGATGAAAAAAAATATTCCTCGCAAATAGTAAGCAAAGGAGAACAGGGACAGCTATACTAATTTCAAAGATAAAAAACTCTTACAAGAGATAAAGACATAATATAATGGTAAAAGGGTCAATACAGCAAGAAGATATAACAATCATAAACATTTACATGCCAAATATTAGACCTTTAATATGTAATAATAATACATAATTGTATATATATCCACACACACAATGTGTGGTATGACATAAGGGCAGACTTATAAACAATGGAATAGAATAGAGAACTCAGAATAAACCTTTGCATATGTGATCAAATGTTGTTGTTGTTTTTAATGATCAAATGATTTGACAAGGGTGCCAAGACCATTCAATAGGGAAGGGATGATCTTTTCAGTAAATGGTGGGGAATTTTTGTTTGGATAAAACAAAATGTGTAATATACAGACAATGGAATGTTATTCAGCCATTAGAAGGAAGGAATTCCTGACACAGGCTACAATATGGATGAACCTTGAAAACCTGCCCAGTGAAATAAGCCAGACACCAGAGGACAAATACTGTATGATTTCACTTATTTGAGGTGTCTAAATTAGGCAAATCCATAGAGACAGAAAGTAAAACAGTGTTTGCCAGGTGCTGGAGAGATGAGGGGAGAGGGAGTTAGTGTTCATTGGGGACAGAGTTTCAGTCTGGGAAGATGAAAACTTTCTGGAGATGGATGGTGATGATGGTATACACAGCAATGTGCATGTACTTAATGCCCCCAAATTTACACTTAAAAAAATGGGAAAAATAGGAAATTTTATGTTATGTACATTCTACCACGATAAAAATATTTTTAAAAATAATACAATTCACCATATTAATAGAAAAGATAAATATGATCAACTTGATGGATACATACAGAGAAAGCATTTGACAAAATTCAGTATCCATTATGATAAAAACTAAGCAAACCAGCCACAGTCATGAACTCCTTCAAACTGATAAAAGTAACCTGCAAAAACCAATAACCAACAAAATACTGAATTATTTTCCCCTGACAATAAGCACAAGTACAGGATGCCTGCTTTTACCAGTCCTAGCTTTTAAGGAAAGCAAATGAATGTTCATAGAAGAAAATGTGAATAAATAGATCATTTCTTATGTTCTAACAATTGAGCTATCTTTTCAGAAACCACACAAACTAAAATGTAAATTAAAATATATTAGTTCATGTCAAGACATTATGGCCTGAAATTGAGGTATACAAACTTTCCATGATTGTGAAATTGTTTTTTTCTTTTTTTTTTTAATAGGCCTCCAGAGTATGGTCAAATAATTTTAACTCAAGTAATCAGGAATCATCACTTAAAATAACTTACACCCTTAATTTGGATGCAAATTTAGGGCCTTGTATTGTCCAAGAAGAAAATACCACCATTCTAATTCTTTTATAACATATCTTTGCCTTCTTCAAATATGGACTTTTAAGTCAAATTGTCAAGTTATGCCACTGAGGACACGGGGGGGAGAAAAGTAGACAAGGACATTACTTCCATAGAACAATGGTCCCAGTGGGAGCATCCCGTACAGGCAAATTCATGAGCTGGAAGTCTCTCCCTGTGTCTGCTACTTTCAAAGCAGAGAGAACTCTCTCTTTATAGCAAATTACATATTTCTCCTGTCAGCTTGGCAACATTTTTAGAATACCTACTAAGTACTGAGTAGAAATTCTTTATTAGGTATTGTACAGCAACATGCGGCAATACTAAAGAAACAATATGGAGACATCATCCGTCTGGCATAATTAGGGAAGGAAGCAGACCAACAAAGATAATTTGCCAAGGAACCAAAGCTTATAACTTGCTTTTTTTTTTTTTGGAGAGAGAGTGCGTGAGCAAGAGGGGGGAGGGGCAGAGGGAGAGGATGCGAGAATCCCAAGCAGGCTCCACAGCCAGCACAGAGCCAGACACGGGGCTCAATCCCAGGGCCCTGAGATCATGACCCCAGCCAAAGTCAAGAGTCAGATGCTTAACCAGCTGAGCCACCCAGGCACCCCCAAAGCTTACAACTTCAGGTGTCAGAATCCAGGCAATTCCTCATCCCCACTGTTACCACCTAGTCTGAGGCCCACCACCCCTCTCCTGAGTCCACCCTTGCCCCCCCTACAGGCCAGGGAGGGTTCAGATCAGATTGCATCACCCCTCTCATTAAGACCCTGAAATGGCTCCCATTTCTGTCCAGGTAAAATCTGGCAGACTACAGATCAAGCCAAATTTCTACTGTTTATGCTGTTAGACCCTAGGCTGCTGGTCATGCTGGGGGTGAGCTGGTGTTTCCTGACTCATGCAGTGTAAAAGAGCTACAGTTCAGTGGTTGGCTCCCTCTCCAAGAATCCCGTTGCAGCCCTGCTAGATCTCTGCTCACGAGCTTGCAAGGCAATGGCTCCTGGGGGACCCACACACCTGCTCCTCTCTCCCCGAGTTTTCTCTCAGTGAGGGCTCCTCCAGACACTTGGGTGTGTGAAAATGGGGCTTATGAGCTTTAATACATAGCCATCCTTGTTTTCAGGCTTCCCATGTATCTCAAAGACCACATTAAATCATTTTTTAGCTGTCATAAAGAGAGTTTGTGGTCATCCTGGATATCTCTAAATATGTTGGCGGCAGACAAAAATCAGACACCTACCTGACAAGTACGGTTGACATCGGAGGTTCCTCCATGTTTTTATTCCACAAGAGGCATTTCTTCCACCCATGATTTGCATTATTGATGGATTTTCTTTTCCACAGGGGCATGCTACTTGGCTTTGGGGTCATATTAATCTCTTTTGGAAACTCATGTCTTGCTAAGATCCTTTCTAAGCCAGAGAATTCAGAATTCTGACCTGGTAATAGAAGAAACATTAATGCAATTCGGCATGCCTTTTCATCTTTGCACAGCAAGAGTAACATGGCACTCACTTGAGAAAGAATATTTATGCCACTACATAATTGCTTTTGAGCTCTGCCATCCCTTCCCTGCAAAAATATTACTGAGCAACACTGAGACACTAGCCTGGTCCTGGACATCTGATAGATGCACAGCAAATGAATGAGTGAATGAACCTGCAAACCAATGTGCTGGCAGCACCATGAATACTGAAGTCTATTTAAGCAATCCGTGCCTGTTTCTCAAATTAATGGCAATTGAATGCACGATTATTTTTATCTTCGGAGATGTTAACCACACTCTGCATTTACATCACATGCACTGCTTCACGTTGACCTCGTTTGGCCCCAAACCAAGTGGCTCATCTCAATGGGACAAAGAGCTTGGGTCAGAATGTAATTCAATACACTGCATCCTTCAACAAAACAGTCCTGCTACCAAAAGGAAGGAAGAGAGGGGCGGAGGGAGGGAAGGAAAGGGAGTCAGTAAAACTACATCGTGGATTTAGTGACATGACTGTCTTACACTGTGGTGTAAGCTTCTCTCTTTGCCAACTGGCAACAATTTGAGAATCAAAAGCCAGTGTGCAGGCTGCTCTGTGCGTGGCTCTGCAATCCACATGGGTGTATGAGAAACTAAGACACTGCCATCAACCTAATGCAGGAAGAGGAGCTGAGCCCCAGTGATTCGGGGTGACCCTGCATAGGAATTGGATCAGAACTCATCCAGCCTCCCTTGTTTCTCAGACTGAACCACTGATGGTCCCTCCCAGACGAGGTAATTGGCACAGACCCCAAAGAACCAAGAACTGGCCCAAGGGGCCATAGCTTGGCAATCTGACGAAATGATGTAATGATTAATAGATTGCTCCTTAGAGGCCTGAAAATCCTTCCAAGTGAGTCAAAAACAAGGCTGGAATCCGGGGCTTCTGCCCAGAGGTCTCAGGCCTGGCCCAAACAGCTTCCACATACTGCTCTTAGAGGCAGTTTATTAGCTCAGGATCCCACAGTGGGGCATCCAGAAGCTCTCCCAGGCACTGGAACGATGGGAATAGCATATGGTTTGCTTTGGTTGTCAGAGCTCACAGCTAAAGTTAATATAGTATTAAACCGAATTAATTACCCAATTCAGGTATTCGATGACATCCAGCTAAAATATATATATATATATTTTTGCCTCAAATGAATTGTTTTTTATTGTCTTGTTGTATATACATACTTTGGTATTGTAAACTGCTTCAAATCCTTTATGTACGTAAACAGGAATAAATTAGAGAGACTAGTATTTCATAAATATTACAAATTATCTTATCCTCCAGTATTCAGTACTGCACACCAAAATGAGATAAAAACTCAGAACCCACTTTCAATATTTAACCAGGTCTTATTGCTGGCCTTCTTTGAAATTATAAGCAAGTTTCCTGGTTTTGAAAGAAAGTACAAAAATTATAAGGATGCCTCAAGACATTATTGGAAGGAGAGGCACCTGGGTGGCTCAGTCAGAAGAGCACGTACGTGACTCTTGATCTCGGGGTCGTAAATTTGAGCCCCACGCTGGGTGTAGAGATTACTTAAATAAATAAAACTTTTCAATTATGCAACCTCCCAAAGTATCTGGAGTAGGGGAGCAGGGACTTAGCCAAGAGAGGCATCTTCTTAAGCATTAAAAACAACATACAAAAGCTTTAAACTTCCTCCCATGTCCTACTTTTTGGTTTGGTGCCAGTCGTTGAAAGGACTGGTTTGGAGAATGTATTAAACATCATCAAACCAATCCTAACGTGATCTCAGGATAGCTCCTTACCCTGCTGTGCTGGGATGTAGGTGGGGTAGGAGGAAGAAGGTCACTCACAGAGGCTTGTGATGTTTGGGGGACAGTTATGTGGGCACGGTAGGTCTAAGTGCATATAGTATAATGGATCCTCATTCCTCATCTTATGTTGTTTGTATGATTTAAGTTCCTATTATTTAAAATCCAGAAAAAAAGACCCTGTGTTTCTAACTACAAATCTTCAGTTTTTTGTTTTTTTTTTTCTTTCTTCTTCTGATGGCTCTGGGTAACAAATATAGTTTAATGCAAGTAAAGCTTCCCTGCAGGTGCAGATGGGGGTGGCACGAGAAGAAATAAAACCCATTTTTAAGGGAAGGTGAAATTTCAGCTAGATGGAAGGCTTTAGACATGTAGCAGTGAGCCATTGGCATCCATTATTGAATTCATAATCTGACAGATGAAAGTGTGAGAAATAGGGTAATCTCTTGCATATGTACCTTCAAGCCTTCACTGGAAATGGCATTCTGGAAATGAAGCAGCCTTTCAGTGAAGAATTCAGGGTCTCAGAGGCTAATGTCCCCTCAATGACTGGATTCTGCCTCAGACCCAGGACTCTGAGGAAACATTTCTTCCTCCGAATGCCATTCATGTCAGCTACGTCATGCACTTTCAACTGACTTCCAACCAGTGAAGAGACCCTGCAGCCCAACCCCTCTGAAACAGAGGGACCTCAGTGATCATGAGCAGAGGTTTTATCGGGCAGGAACACTACCAGTGGCTAGAGGGGTATCAATACCTATCAGTGTCTACATTGGGAAGCTAAGGGAACAAAATTGAAATCAACATATAACTGGAATATCACTAGAAAATCAAAACCCGCTTCTCCAACCTCACATAAACACTGAATGCATTTTCAATGGTAAAATTGCGTTTTCATTACAAAATTACATGAAAAGATTTCCATTGGAATAAATAAAATCAGACAACTTAAAGTAGTATACATAGTTAAAGGGAACATCTTCATTCCTCTTTCTCTAGAGGTAGCCACCAGCCTGAATGTGATGTGTCTCCTTCCAGAACTCTTCCCTCTGCATGTACATACATGTCTATATGTAGAGGTATACAGTCTTCTTTTGGTATAAATGGAACCGGTGTTTCTTATTTTGCAGCGTATTTTTTAATATTCTACAGGGCATTTTATAAATATTTTAACATCAGCTTCCTTTTTAATAGTATTCCACAATATGGATGTATCCGTTTATTTAATCGTTCTGCTATTGAATGACATGAGGCTGTTTACAATTTGTCATCATGATAAACAATGCTTCAGCGCACACACTCCTTCCTGCATCTGTGTGCACTGGTGCAAGAATTTCTCTAAGACACTAACTAGAAGGGGAATTGCTAAGTCAAAAAGCATGAGTATGTAATGGGATGTTAAAATGTGAGTTTTTCTGTTGTCTCAGTTTTGTCCTAAGGCCACACAGTCAGAAAAATCTGGTAGGTGGCAGTTACCCACCTATGCACAACATACCTATGTATACAAGAAAAAGCTAAACATGGGACACCTGGGTGGCTCAGTAGGTTAAGTGTCTGCCTTCGGCTCTGGTCATGGTCCCAGGGTCCTGGGATCGAACCTCACATCAGGCTCCTTGCTCAGCGGGAGCCTGCTTTTTCCCCTGCTTGCCGCTCCCCCTGCTTGTGTGCGCGCACTCTCTCTGACAAATAAATAAAATCTTTTTAAAAAAACAAACAAACAAGAAAAAGCTAAGCATTCTTTAAGGCATGTGGAGATTTCTTTAGGCCGAGTTTTTGAAATGCTGTGCACTGTAGCATCTCTCCTCCCCCTGGCAACTGAAGGTACTTTAAGAGAACTACCTGGGATCCACAACTCCATGGTCAACTAATCTTCGACAAAGCAGGAAAGACTATCCAATGGAAAAAGACAGTCTCTTCAACAGATGGTGTTGGGAAAACTGGATGGCAACATGCAGAATGAAACTGGACCACTTTCTTACACCATACACAAAAATAAACTCAAAATGGATGAAAGATCTAAATGTAAGACAGGAACCCATTTTGATAATACTAGAGGTGAAAAACAGACAGCAACCTCTTTGACCTTGACCACAGCAACTTCTTGCTAGACACATCGCTGGAAGCAAGGGAAACAAAAGCAAAAATGAACTACTGGGATAAAAAGCTTTTGTACAGTGAAGGAAACAATCAGTAAAACTAAAAGGCAGCCTATCGAATGGGAAAAGATATTTGCAAATGACATGTCAGATAAAGCGCTAGTAAGCAGAATCTACAAAGAATTCATCAAAATCAACACCTAAAAAAACAAAAAGTCCAGTCAAGAAATGGGCAGAAGACATGAACAAATATGTCTCCAAAGAAGACATCCAAATGACCGACAGGCACATGAAAAAAAGCTCAACATCACTCGGCATCAGGGAAATCCAAATCAAAACTACAGTGAGATATCACCTCACATCAGTCAGAATGGGTAAAAATCAACAACACAAGAAACAACAGGTGTTGGCGAGAATGTGGAGAAAGGGGAACGCTCTTGCACAGTTTATGGGGATGCAAACTAGTGCAGCCACTCTGGAGAACAGTATGGAGGTTCCTCAAACAGTTACAAACAGAACTACTCTACAGCCCAGCAATTGCACTACTAGGTATCTACCCAAAGGCTACAAAAGTGCTGATTTGTTTGTGTTTTTTTTTAAAGATTTTATTTATTTATTTGAGAGAGAGAGCACATGAGAGGAGGGAGGGTCAGAGGGAGAAGCAGACTCCCTGCTGAGCAGGGAGCCCGATGCGGGACTTGATCCCAGGACTCCAGGATCCTGACCTGAGCCGAAGGCAGTCGCTTAACCAACTGAGCCACCCAGGCGCCCACAAAAGTGCTGATTTGAAGGGGCACCTGCACCCCAATGTTTATAGCAGCACTATCAACAATGGATAAAGATGTGGCATATATTTACAATGGAAAAAGAATGAAATCTTACCATTAGCGATGACGTGGATGGAACTAGAGGGTTCCATCCGAAATAAGTCAGTCGGAGAAAGACAAATATGTGGTTTCACTCTTATGTGGAATTTAAGAAACAAGACAGATGAACATAGGGGAAGGGAAGGAAAAATAAAATAAGATAAAAACAGAGAGGGAGGGGCACCTGGGTGGCTCAGTCAGTTGAGCACCCGACTCGTGATTTCAGTTCAGGTCACGATCTTGGGATCAAGCCTCGTGTCAGGCTCCCTGCTCAGCGTGGAGTCTGCTTGTCCCTGTCCCTCCCCCTCAGCCCCTCCACTTGCTTGCTTACTCTCAATCTCTCTCTATAAAATAAATAAAATCTTAAAAAATAAAAAAATCAGAGAGGGAGGCTCTCTAACTATAGGAGACTATAGTTAAGAGAACAAACTGAGGGTTGCTGGAGGAGAGGTGGGGGGGGATGGGCTAGATGGGGCTAGGCATTAAAGAAGGCACTTGTGTTGAGCCCTGGGTTTTATATGTAAGTGATGATTCACTAAATTCTACTCCTGAAACCAATACTACACTATATGTTAACTAATTTGAATTTAAATTAAAAAAAATAATAAGTAAATAAATAAGAGAACTACCTGAGGAACTGGGCTGTGTCCCCTAACACCTGATGTATTCATTTCCTAGGACTGCCATAATAAAGTGCCACAGTCTGGGTGGATTAAAACAAAAAATGTATTATCTCCCAGTTCGGGAGGCTGGAAGTCCGAAACCAAGGTGTCATCAGGGCTGTGATCCCTCTGAAACCTCTAGGGGAAAGGTTTCTTCCTTACCTCTTCCTAGGTTTTAATATTTGCTGGCAATCCCGGGTGTTATCCTGACTTACAGATGCATCAGTCCAACCCTTGCGTTTGTTGTCATACGGCCATCTCCTCCCTCTGTGTCTCTGTCTTCTTACAAGGGGAGTCACGTTGGTTTCCGAACCCACCCCACTCCAGTTGACCTCCTCTTAATTACATCTGCACCTCTCTCAAGACCCTATTTCCAAATAAGTTCACATCTTGGGATACTGGGGGGTTAAGACTTCAACGTATCATTTTGGGGGACATAGCTCAGCCCTAATACCTCAGAAAGTATAAGATAATTGGTTAGGACCACAGCTGCCTGTGGCCACAGAGACACAAGGTCAGTGCTGGGAGTCACTTGTATTTTCACCAGCTGGGTGAAGGTATGAAGGACAGGGGGTCAAGTTTTCTACATGTTATATGCGAACCCCCTGGAAATGGATTAGTTTTGAGTCATCTTGAATAGGCTCTCAAGAGGGCTTCTGTCACCCAATGAGGCAGTCTCCACTGAAACACGTTGGGAGCACAGCCTACAGAAGCTGGGCCAGGGGTGGGGATGGAGGAGGGGAAACGTCAGCAGGAGGCTGAGTGAATGAGAGATCTCCAGCAAGGGAACCCACCAGACGCCCGGGAAAGAAGAGGCCAGCTTTGGAAAGCTGTCACCCCTAGAAGGCACGAATGACAGGTGACAATCTGATATTTCACATCAAGGAAATCTTTTCAGTTCTTCCCACCCTCACCCTTGTCAACCCAACAGCAGCCAGTGAGCGGGGATGGAATGATAAAAAAAAAAAAAAAAAGCCCCACCACATCGCAGGCCAACTCCCAGTCTCTGAGTCTATGTCACGCCAGAGCGATGGGGAGCAGAGAGGTCTTTACTCTGGTTGAGGGTTTAGAATGTGGGCATTAGAGTGGACATTTTATTATCTGAATGAATACGACCAGGAAAGCTCTGAGATCTGCTTGTAGTTTCACCCAAAGCTGATGAGCAAAGAACAACAGAATGGGCCAAAGGGGAAGTTGTGAGTAAAAAGAAAATTAGTCTCTACTTACTCTGCCCAGTTCAACTCATTTAAGAAGCCAGTAACAACATCAAGAACTAATGATGTAATGTATGGTGATTAACATAACAATAAAAAATTAAAAAAAAAAGAAGCCAGTAACATACATTTTAATTTTGACAAAGACTTTCAAATTATCTTCAAAAGGGGAGACGAACCATGAGAGATGATGGACTCTGAAAAACAAACTGAGGGTTCTAGAGGGGAGGGGGGGAGGGGGATGGGTTATCCTGGTGATGGGTATTGAGGAGGGCACGTTCTGCATGGAGCACTGGGTGTTATGAACAAACAATGAATCATGGAACACTGCACCAAAAACTAATGATGTAATATATGGTGATTAACATAACAATAAAAAAATTAATAAAAATTATCTTCAAAAAAGCCTGAATCAGTAAGCATGCTAATAATGATTGGGAGGGTATTAATTTCCCCACATGTTCATCATTATTGATCTTTCAAGATTTGACCAGTATGATGGCCTAAAAAATGCCACCTTGATTTATCTTCTGCTTCCTTGATTACCAGAGTGTTTGAACATCTCTCATGCTTATTGATAATTTGCATTTCATCTTGTAAATTGCCTATGACATGTATCACTTGTAGTAGGTTCCTTATATTTTCCTTAACTATTTTTATGTAATTGTTAGTGTAATCTGGATGTTGGGGTCAATTCATAATACTGTGCATTCAGGGACCAGGGACTAACCAGAATACAAATGGACAAATTTGCCATCAAACCTTCCTACCCCTGACTTGCGTCTTAATCACTGTGGTAGCTCCTACTTTGTTTCTAAGTTCATGGGCACAAGTGGCTACCAGCTACCTTTGCCCTTCCCTGGAGCATAAACAATTCAGGAGGCAGGCTCCACCCAATTCTGCAAATCAGTTCAGTTATCAACTGCCCTGATGGAACTCCAGAATTGGAGGGCCACTCCAAACTCCAGAAAGGGAAAGTCATTTGTAATCTTCGGGGGGAATATCCGGCTTCTCTCTGGGGTGGTACAAATGGAGGAAGAAGCAGCGGGAAAGAGAGCAAAGGAGTAAACATCAAAGCCCCGCCTTCAACTTGGAAGTTCTCTCACTCATCTCAAAATCACATCTACACCTGTAAATTTAGTGGTAATTTCCCACTTAGTCCAGTTTCCATCATTCCACAGGTAAGCTTTGCCGAAAGAGGAGTGACAGACCTATCTCCGTTCATAAAAGACCAGTGAAAGAAAAGGAATGTGAAGGAGTGATGGTGGAGTCCATCGCTGGGCACGCTATCCACGGGTCCATGGGTCTCAAGGACGGACCACACCTGCCATGTAGAGAGGCAGTTCTTGGGACACCTGGGCGGCTCAGTCGGTTGAGCATCTAACTCTTGATTTCAGCTCAGGTCATGATCTCAAGGTCATGAGATCAAGCCCCCTGTGGGGTTCTGTGTTCTGCGGGGAGTGTGCTTGGGATTCTCTCTCTCTCTCTCTCTCCCTCTGACCTTCCCCCAGCTCTCTCTCTCTCCAAAAAAAAAAAAAAGAAAGCTAGTTCTTACTGGTGGCTAAAAGAAGAAGTTTGCGCCAAGATAAAGTGTGTGCTTGTTAAAAGAGCTCACACCACCCTCTACCCACGTACAATTTTGTTTGTCCTCTTCCCTCTTGTAGGAATAAAGTGTCTCCATCAGATGGTTTGGCAGCAGTCTGTGAAGGTTGGACAGAGTCTCAAAGGTGTGATGCAGAACCTCAGGCTGTGCGTAGTTTTTGGGTGTCTTCAGTTTGTCTAGGAGAGGAAGTTTCAGTGTGAAGTGGTTGTTCTTGGCCGTCCCCATGACCACCCGCCGGAGTTAGAAGCACAAATAAAGAATTGGAAGGGTGGAGCCCCTTGCCGTTGTTATTTCTCCATGCTTTTGTACACCCCTGAGGAGATGCCATGGAATCCCTTTTCTGGTCTCTGATCGCTTAGCGTTCTGAGAGTCACAATGGCCTGGACCTTCGCCTGGAACCCTGAGGGCTCATCTGATCTTCAAACCAGAAGAAATCAGCCAGTCAAAAACACCTTGCCAAGTCTTACAGGGATTTCAGGCAGAAACTCCGGTTTCCTGTCTGAACATGAGCAAGACCTGAGGAAAGCAGGTGCTTTCCTGAAGGGAAGAGGGGAAGCCAGGGTGCACACCTCCAGTGCTCTTTCTCCAGCTGGCACTCCGCACGGGCCATGCACCCTGGGCACATGTAATTCAGACTCCACAGATCCTCGGGGTCCTGAGGGAGAGTGCTTACATCCACACAGTTCTTGAGCAGAACTGGGGAAAGAGCTCCATCGCCCAAAACTGTGGAAATGTCCAGATTAACACAGGTAAGAAGCCAACCTGCTGCGTATTCTCTTATCCAAACTGACAAAGGAAACAAAATGTTCAATTCTAGCTTGAGCGGCAGAAGCCATTCTTCACTGTGGACCCTGAGCCGAAGTACTAAATCACCTTAAGCCACCACACTCAATGGCATAGCCCTGAGCCAGATAGAAGGTGCCAAGAGCTATTCCCAGATTTGGGGCAAACGTGCAAATAATAAGGGTTGTTCTAGCTACTCCTTAATCTCAGCATGCTCCACCCAAGGAGCCAGGTTCACTGTCATTGCCCTGTCCCGTGCACTGGCTGGGAATCATACCTCAAAGTGATCAGGGAGCGCCATGGAAGCCAGGCATGCCAGGGCAAGAGCTGGGAGTGTTTGCCAGCTTTTTAGCGAACTTAAAAACCCTTGACCAAGACTATAAAAACTTCAGGATTATATCGTAGGGTACATTAGTGCCCAGAGCGGAAGATACCAACTTTCACTTCTTAACTTTCCAGTTCAGTTTCCATTTGCAAACTTTAAAAAGTAAGACTTTTAAACATACACAAAAAGGTATACTTTAAATAAACTTAAAATATGATATAGAATCAGAGCCACTCGAATAGAATGTGATTCTCATAATGTCGTAGGTGTTTTTGGAAAGAGAAGGGAGCTGGTGGAAGTGAGGGTGGTAGAATATTTTGATAGACAGAGACTTCTTTCTTCCAAGCAAACTTGAGTGTATTACTCTAAATATTTATATAAATCGAAAAGAACAAACCATGTTTTAAGCCATTCAACAGGCCAAGGAAGTGATATATTAAAATTGATTCTTTATACTGCATGAAAAAATATATAGATATATCAATATATATAAATTGACACCTATATGATATATATATAATGTTATTATAATACCACGGACTATGTTCCCTATACCGTTCCCTTCATCCCCACCATATGTTCTTAATCATTGCTACAAATAGCAACTGATGGAATGTTTCTAGTTATCTGGTTTATTGACCTTGGCTGAAATCAGAAGTAGACCACAATTATGATATTTTATTTTTAAATAAACTTTATTTAATGGATGGATAAATGTCTTTTGCAATGGATAAGACTTCTCCAAGGAATCCACCTCCTTCATCTTCTCTATCTCGTGCTGCAGGGGAAAGAACACTGTTCAGGACCAGAGTTAGCACCCCCGCTGCTAACTAGCTGTGTGATCTTGATCTCAGCCAGCCAGGTCTCAGCCTACAGAACGAATGTGCTCTGACAAAACAGATCCTTCTATTTTGTGCCTTGTTTGGGATTTGTCTTATTTCTAATTCTGTTCTTCCATGATCAATACATTTCCATTTCCATAACCACAGCGGTAACGTGTTATTATTTTCTCAAAGAAAAGATGAGAGAGAATCCTCCTAAGCCTGCACTCCCTTTCTGATTGTGACAGTGAGTTGCTAGGAAGGGCCAGCCGCGCCACTCAGGTAGTAGCTCTGTGTTATTAACTAAATTGATCCCACAGCATAGCACCTGCAGGGCACTGGGTTGTTTTTCTAGTTAGGCTGATCTTTTATTCATGACTTTTAGGTAAATGGCAATTCCTTTTTTTGTTCCAAAGAGGGCTGTTGTGTCTCCTGAGCACCTTCCTCTTCCCCTCTGCCACAGTGGATGTGACAAGACCAGCTGGCTTCCAGAAGGCAAAGTATTCAGTAATGTTCAAAGGGAAAAGATCATCTCCAAGCTTCTTAAAGAAAGCGTTCTAAAGAGAGTGTTCCGTTCACAGCAGATGAGGTGGGAGGCTTCCAGCCGCCAGAAGGAGGACCCAGGCTACACCTTTCCTGGCACCAGAAAGTAAGTCTTGATCCTGAAACTTAAAACTTCCAAGTACATTGGTGATGTAAGACTAAGAAAACACGACTGCAGAGCATAGGCATCTGAAGGACAGGAAGCCATAAAGCTATTCCCACTGCTGGCAGCAAGTCCTGAAGAAAAATCTAAATAGAGGTGGACATATACCATGGAGAATTTATCCAAAAGTACTGGCTACAACTTCTGCAGCCAATGTGTCTGTTTATCTTTTGGAAAGATATTCCTGGGCATCACTATCATATTCGTTCTAGGAATTAATAGATTTTATTTTATTTTTTTTAAAGATTTTATTTATTTGTTTGACAGAGAGAGAGAGCAGGGAGAGTGTCAAGCAGAGGCAGAGGGAGAAGCAGACCCCCTGCCGAGCAGGGAGCCCGATGCGGGACTCGATCCCAGGACTCCAGGATCATGACCTGAGCCGAAGGCAGTCGCTTAACCAACTGAGCCACCCAGGCGCCCGGAATGAATAGATTTTAAACAAGATTTGTTACATTTTTGCAACAAAATGGTGGTCTCCCAAACAAGGGAGTAAAGGGGTCAAGGTTAGTTTTTAAAAGAGAAACACAACTTCTAAGTAAAAAAATATTTTTATACATATTTCCTAAAAAGAAACTGTACACACCCAAGCAAGTTAGGACATTTCAGGTAAATCCTCACAGAAATGGAGACCTAAGTCGGGGATTTAGGTAATTGGCCATGAGAGAAAGAGAAAGCTGAAGCTGCAAACAGGAGAAGCACAGGACTAGTTACCTAACCACACACAAATTGAACTGAAATCACCCAGAATTGAACTGAAATATTTCCCACTGAATAGCATCTTATTTACTTGAGAACAAAAATGCATGCTATTAATTAGAAAATATGACCTTGACTTTCTGAAGATATTTACATAATTACACCGAACAAGATTCCATTGCAGTAAATAGCCAGCCGTGACGCTGACAATACAGCAGGGACAAATAAAGGGAAGTGGGGACAAACACGTGGGTAATATAAAAGATATGAAAGGTTTTGAAAGAGGTGGACTGAACTAGAAGGATTTCCCTGCAGGATAATTAGAAGCTAAGTAATGTCACTGACATTTCTTTGCATCACCCTGGGCTAAAAAAAAAAGGAATGTCTATCAAAGTGCCTTCCAAAAGAGCTTTCTGTGGGCCCAAATTGTCACCTCTCTCAGAGTAGGAGAAACTGAGGTGAGCAGCAAGGCATGCTTACCTACCAAGGGATTGGCCCAAGGCTTTCCTTCTTTCCACCAATTCAGACCACCTCCATGGTAATGAATGCAAGAGCTTGTAAATGCCACAAGACAGAACATCTGTCTCACCTTACCTCACCAGATTAGCTAAGAGGTACAGGTTTAAAGTAAGGCAAGCCTGATGCTACCCCTAAAACCTGAATTCCCAGAGGGGTCTTGGGGTGGCCTGAAAGGAAGGTGCGTTCTGTTGGGCTAAGGATTGACGTTAGGGCTGCCCCCGAGCTACTGTGGAGAACAGTCCACTGTCTAATGATTGCCTTCAGGCTGGATGACAGCCAACCCAGAGTCAAAGCTGTGGAGAGGGTATGATTCTCTTCGTTGTTGCCCTTATATTGTCCACGACCACAGCGTCTCACGCTTACTTTTCTACCCTCTCAGCCTTGTCTCCTCACAGCCTAGACTGAATGCTCTCCTGCCGAACTCTCTACAGGGACTAGGCTGTCACTATCGTTTTAAACCTGTAATACTAACAACTTTATCAATTCAACAAGTGGGGGGGGCATGATTTTTATGCTGACGTCAAAGCATTCAAAGAGTCTCCAGAGAAAGTGAGGAGAGTCAAATTGATAAAGAAGGGTTTTAGGAATATGTTCTGTCAAGGAAAAAAAAAAAAGAGAGAGAGAGAATCTTAGAGGATGTATTTATGGATGACAAATCTCAGAGGGACTTTAAGGGATCAGGGATCAGTTCATGTTCTGAAACAAAAGGAAAACGCGGAAACCAACATGGTAACCATACCACAGCAAATGTTATTTTTTGGAGTAATTAAATTAACTCAAACATTTATTGAATGCCTACTATACACCAGGTACCAGGCCAGATAGAATAAGGTCAGGCCTTGCCTTTAAGGCATTGGAAAAGATAGTGAGTGGGATATTGTAAATGAATAATTATAATGTAACAGTGAGAAAGGAATTGTAAGCAAATAAATCATAATAACCTGACAGGGATTTTGGAAGAGGAAGAGGTAGCAATGTATTCTTCCCTGAGGGGTCAGGGAAGATGATTTGTGAGCTAGATTTCTATGGATATGACTTAACTAGGTGGATCAAAGGAGGGAGGAGGAAAAAAAAGGAGGAGCTATTATAGGAAAAGAAAAATAATGTATGTCCTGGAGGAGACAGAGTGTTTAGAAAAATTGCAAAATATCTGAGGTGTTGAACATGTAGGCCCTGAAAATGATAAGCAGATACTTAAAGCCTGGCTCATTCTTTGGGATTAGGAGGGTATTAGAGCAGATCCGTGCTTTTTATCAGCAGAATGGAAAACAGTCTGAAGGAGGAGAGAACCCAGGGGGGAGACTGCCAAGGAGGCCTATACTAATCTTATATTCATTCTCCTATATTTGTCAGAGAGAGAGAGCACAAGCAGGGAGAGAAGCAGGCTCCCCACTGAGCAGGAAACCTGATGCGGGACTCGATCCCAGGACCCTGGGATCACGACCTGAGCCGAAGGCAGATGCTTGAGTGACTGAGCCACCCAG